AAAGTTTTCTCATAGTACCGATGGATAATGAGAATTTTTTATTTTGTGTATAGAATTAAATATTTGATTTTTAAGCGAAACACTAGTTACATAAATTTAGAGAAATTTATGTTAAGATCAATTATACGAAGTATGGTATACCAGTGGAATCTTTTTTGCTTTTAAAGCATCAAAATGACTTGTATGACTATAATAATTTCTTAAACATTTGAAAGGTGTTTCATATGTGATTTAGTCTGTCACTTTTCACTGTGATGATAGTGATACAAAGATTAATATTAAGGAGATTATAAAAGATCCATCTATAAAAAATGATATTGAGAGAAAGTATTGTGGTAGTGACCAAGATGACTTTTAATGATAATTATTTTGATTTATATAAAATGGCTCTCTACGCTCTAAAGTGTTTGAGAGTCATCTAGAATGTCTAGGATTACGAGACATGTCTCATCTTCTCTAGGGCAAGTGGGAGAACATGTTGGGTGTAGAGTATGCTTTAAGATACATGTCTTTAGTGCAAGTGGGAGATTGTTGGGATTTATGTTGTAAAGCCTCATAATTATTCAGTTTTTAACATTAATTTTATTATTTTATTTGTAATTTTATTGTTATCCATTATATGAAAATTCAAGGCTATTAATGTAATCTTGAACAGTATGTGGTTTGACATATAAGAGAATCGTGTTCAAGTAATGAGTCTATAGTATATGGATAAGGTTGGGTGTCTTATCCTGATAACACTATTGATACAACCCACTTTTTAATCGTTACCAATGATTTGATCCAAATCGTTCATGTGAAGACATGTAAGTGGGGGTATCCTATACAATGAGTTTGTTTAAGACTGGACTAAGAAATATTTAATCTCTCTTTATAAATCTGTTAATTGAGAAAATTAATATTTCACATGATGATCATATGCGACTCAATCTTAATCCTGAGTGAGTTATGAACTCCTGTCTGTGAAGGCTTGTCCTTTAATTTACATGGTGAGAATGACTTTAGCCGATTCAATATGCCTACCATTTTTTGAGACTTCACCAAATAGGAAGTTCAGAACATAATATCATGAGATGGAATTCACTCCTTCCCATATAAATAAAGTAGATGAGTTGATCTCTTAAATACTGATTTCGAGACTTGAATAATGGAGCCCCACCCTTTCATTGGTCCGAGAGGGGTTTGGTTTATGATTGGATTATAAACAAATTATTCATGAGAGAATCTATGGTACTTAAGGTGAAAGATGTAATTACAAGGGTAAAATAGACTTTTGACCCAACTATAAATATGAACAATTCGTGAAGAATTGACTTGATTATAATGGTTATATTAATGGACATAACTTATCCTACCGTGCATAAGAGTGCAACTCTAGGTCTATAGTGGAGTGACCTATACTTCATGAATGAAAATTAATTAATTAAAGAGTTTAATTAATTAATTTTATATTGTTGAAGATCCGTAGGTCCATAAAGTCTCTTGCTAGCTCATAATAACGTTAAAAGGTTCGATTTATTTGAAAGAAAATTTGGAGTGTTCAGATTGATATTTAATATATATATTAAATATAAATGAGAAAATAAATTTAATTTGAAATGTCAAATTAATATTTAATATATTAGATATATTAAATCAATAGAGAAAAATATATTTAATTAAAATTTTTAAATTAAGAGAAAAATATATTAATTTGAAGGATTAAATTAATATTTAATATTTTAGATATATTAAAAAGAAAAAATATATTTATTGTATTTGATAGAATTAAATATTAAATCAATTAATGTAAATACATTAAATAAAAATATATTTGAAATTTGAAATTGAAATAAGATTCAAATTAATTAAATATATATTAGGATATCTTTTAATATCTAAATATGATTTGTACGAGGTGGCAAAAATTTTCCAAAATTCCCTATAAATAGAACCCTCCTGTTTAGCCAAAAACATATCAATTTCTCCTATTTTCTCTCGAGAATGAAATTAATTCTCTAGAGAAATCTAGAAACTATTGTTCTCCAATCCTTTAGTGATTTTCTTTCAAGAGGCTCCCACAAGTCTGGACTTGTGTTCGAGTCATAACAAGGAAGATCTCGTGGAATGTTGAAGAGCTTTTGCATGGTTGGAAGTTTCTACAAAAGTGAGCTTTTACTCTCTTATTGCTTTTGTTTTAAATCATAATAAAAATAAAAACGGTTCCCAATGCTTCTGCTACGTGGATGAAGAGTTCATTCCCTTCAATATATACACGATTAGGCAGTGCTTCCAAAATGTACTTTCTTCATTCTCTGTATTCTCTCGTGTTATACCTGAAGTCATCAATAAAATCTTTAGCCAATATTCCTCCTTGAATTTTCTCTCTTCTGTTTTTTGTGTTCATCTTGATTGAGTGTGTGCGTTGTTGAGCAATCCTAACACTTTGTCTTTCGTGTTTTCTTCCATTGTCAAAAAAAAAAAAAAAAAAAAAAAAAAAAAAAAAAAAAAAAAAAAAAAAAAAAAAAAAAAAAA